TTTCCCTATAAGTCTGTTTTGCCCCAGTATCTTCTGTGCTGACAGCTACACTGTTCAGATGCAGACTTTGATGGGAATACATTCAAATATCTCTAGCTGCAATGTTTGTCTTCTACCTACCATATATTTACAAGAGTATTTCTAATACATGCTGCCACTACTAGTCTGAATACAAGAAAACTTTCAAGAGTACTCATTATTTCTATGGTGTATTAAATAGAAATATTTTTACTAAGATAAGATATGATCAGGGAAATAATATTGAGGATTTTTTTCAAAGTTAATTTTGGGTAGGATCTAAAACACCCTTTGGGCATGTAGCTCTCAAAGCTGAAACTCTAAATTTCTAAGGACTTATGAGAAAACTTGCTCCTGCAAGTTCTGCTGAACATAGTTCCTCATTAGTGCTGCAGGTGATGTGATAGTGCTCTATAGCTACCTGGAGACAGCACACAGGAGAGGGAGGGAGGCAAAAGTGTATAATTCTTACGCAACACAGAGTGTAACTACTAAGGTGTTTACATCATGTCAGAAATGTGCCAAATGCAGACAGAAAATTTTGGTGTATGTCATTACAGCCACAGCTTACACTGTCTAAAACAAGAATAAAATACCAGTGCTGATTCTTTTCTGCATTTGCAGTCCAAGTCTTGGGGAGTTAGTTGTCTTTTCACCAGGATGTGGACACAGTTTAAAAAATAGCATCAATTTCTCAATCTGCTGAAATTTCTTTATAATGGGAATGAAGCTCACAGGATCTATGTTGAGCCAGTCAACACATTTGAAAAATTCCAATTAATTATTTTTGGATCAGAGGAACCCCACTTAACCAAATGAGCCGGAACACACGTACATTACAACATTTTCCAAATAGCTTGCTGTGCAATATTTTTAAAAGGATTCGGAGTCATGTATGACTATTATAGCAGCTTTTAATTACATTAATTTTAGCAGCTGGTTGCAAGTCGCCCTTTTCTGTAAATTCAGCTGAGCAGTAAGAATTACTTCAGATGTGAAATGTGAAGCCATTTACCTCAGAAATATTTTTTCAGTTGCAGTTTAAAGTTGTAAAAAAAAAGTTAAAATATGCATGTCTGTCCTCTTGAAATGACTACATAGATAAATGTGTAATTCAGAGCACATTTCAGTAGAATGACATCTGCAATTACAGTGATGCCTTGTACTGCATATCTGGAGAAACACATGAAGAGCCCAACAAAGAACAATTATATACTGCCCTTATTGATTGACTAATAACACATTTCATGAGTATACATTTACAGTCCCTGCTTAAGAGGAGGCAAGTGTGCCCTTCTGCCATTTTTATATGTTGAAGTACCCGATATCGCCAGCCTCCATGGGAAGCAGCTGCAGCAGGAAGCTTTCAGGAATTCATGGGAACCGAGCTCTGGCCGGCACTGTGCTGTGAGATGTCGAGAGCAGCTGTCTCTCCCGGAGGACTGATCGAATTAATCAGTTGATAGGGAGTATCTGGCTTTGCTGAGAGGCAGCCACTCCTGGATCCGGCCTTGTCACTTTCCTAGACCCACAGGAGCCGGGAGACACTGCCTCTTTTAGGTCATAAGAGTTATCTCTGTGGGAGTAGAAGAGTTCCCTGGTTTCTGAAGTTGGCAAAAGCTTGTGTCTAGTAGAAAGGCAAGAGGCTACTGGTAGTTATGGACAGTGTTTTGTCCTTCGTCGGTGTGGAACAGGAAAGATGACTCAGCTAGCTAAGCTAAAATTCTGAAGTAAACATGATTTATCAAATACAGGAGAAAAGCAGGTAGCATCACCTTGAGGACCTGAGGGGTGGCTTTAGGGGTTGAATCACCACGCCACTTGTTTAATGTCCTCTCTCCATGTTCTTGCTTGGTGCCAAAACCTTCCTGCACACCCACTCCAGCATATAGTTGCCATTTGCTCTTCACCCTTCTCCACTGTCCACGTTCCATTTGCTTCCTAATAATAGCATTTTCACCCTATCTGTTTTTGTGTCTCTCAGGCTATTGTCATAGAAAGGGCATGAGGAATGACGGAACTGGCTTGCACTTTTTGGTCCTGCAGAGGGATGGCCAATGAAAGGGGGCTCCTATTTTGGTGCCTGTGAGGGTGTGCCCTCGAAGATGCTGAGGTGGCAGGTTGTTCAGTTGCTCCTTGAGCCTCTCTGTGCTGTTCCTGCTGTTGTGGTGCTCCAAATGCACCGTTAGACCATGTTAACTTTAGACATTTAAATTCATTTTCGTACGTAGTGCTGTGTAATGCATGTTTCAGGCTGGCTGTTGTATGCATGTTTCAGTATAGCTTCAGATGATTCGTGGAGACTTCTGTGTAAGCTAAGTTTATGTTTGATTTTTTTTTTTTTACAAGATTGTAGATCTCGGTAGCAGAAGGGTTGTGGATGTTCCAAAGGCTTTGCTTCTACCACAGCCTCTCATTTTTTCTCTAAATTTGCTGTTAGTATAATACTGAAGTATGGTGATTTTCTTTTATAATTCTCCGTAACTATTTAGAGAAATTTGATTATCGCAGCTTCAAAACATTAGAATTTTGTGACATAAGAAGAAGGTGCCCAGAGGTCAACAGAGATATATGTCTTGGGCTGTGGACATGAGAGCTCTGATGTGCTCTTAAATCCCGCAGAGTTCTGCCGGAAGAGGGAAACTGCAGTGTAATATCCCTTCATAAGTGCTAAATATTGACATTTAATTAAATACTGCTACTAGCTGGATTGTTTTCTTTCTGTAAGAAGAACTTAAGTTTCAGATTTGTGGCTAGTTATTATATAAACTACAAATCTCAAGGAGTAGTGGACAAGTAGTTCTACAGAAAAATCCAGTGAACCTATTTTGGGGAAAAAAAGAATCATTGCTTGTGCATTATTTATTGGAATGGTGATGTAGTGCTTACTGGAAATCAGCATCAGCCATCTTCCAGATTTTGGGCTTGATTATGGAGTTGGAGCAGTTTATACTTCTGTAAAAGATTGCTTCACATAAGCAGTCATAGTTGCTTGTAAGTTAATGGTTAAAGAAGATGTCAACCACACAAGACTCAGACTGTAGTTACAAAAATTATCTGTGAGATGCACTTACTGCATATTACTGATACTGTAAACTTGCAGACAGCTAGATATTGTAACATTTTCTCAGTAATTGTTTCTTCTTACTGCGAGTAGACAGATTAGCTTTACTGTCAAACAATAGAGGGTTACCTCTCCATCCTAAGGCAATTCCTCCATTCATCCACCCTTTGCCGTATAATTAGCACTTTTAAAAATGCATTTACAGTAAAGATGCTTTAAATTTAAAATCAAAAGGTGATTTGAAAATGAAGTTATCTTTTCATAGTTCAGGTGGGCTTAATTGAGGTATCTCTACAAATCTGTTAAATTTTGAGTGTAGTCTTCATAAAGCAGTGTATTAACAATCCTTCTATGTATTTCTTATCACTCTTTGTCTTGGCTGCCACTAATTTACTTGTCAGATACTCTTCATATCCACCACCACCATGTTCTATCAATGCAAAACGCAGTTACAGGTATTCTTAACTGAGAGGGAACACCTATTTTCTGTAACTCCTAGGCCGCTGCTAGTGGATTTCCATAAGCTGACTTTGTAACAGGTGCCTGTAGATTTACCATTTTGACTGCTGTTTACCTTTCTTGGCATGGGTTGAGAAAGAAGAACTTGAATCTTCCACCACTGTGTGCAATGGTAAAAGAGCTTCTGTCTCACTAGCATTGTGGGTTCCATTTTTCTTTTTAATAGGCATTGTCTAGGAGATCACCTGTTTTCTCCAGTTTATGCAGTGAGGGAGGTTTTATACTGCAAAAATGTAATTTTTCTTTTATGATTTTCTTCCATAGTCTGCCATCTTCAACTTTCAGAGTCTACTGACTGTAGTCTTGCTGCTTATATGTACCTGTGCCTATATCAGATCCTTGGCTCCCAGCTTACTGGACAAAAATAAAACTGGGTATGTACTCTCATAATTTTAAAAATACACAAGCTGCTTGGTTTTAAGTGCAACATTTTAGTATCTTCTGATGATGCGTGATAATATAAATTGTATTTTGAAAGGTTTCTCTTTAAAAGTCTTTGATTTGCACCCAACAATATAAAGTTATAAGGTATTTACAAGCCCTTAGTTGCTGTTTTGTGCTAAGAATTAATTAACTAATAAAGCCAGCTAATATTGATTTATTAGTTATTGTCTAGATTTGCAACTTTTTTACTAGACGTTTATTAAAGATATAGAAATGAGTGATAGAAAGAAAATATTTTTTTTTTCCCTACATGCACCTATTGCTGTTAAGATTTATTTATGATTCTTAGGGTGGATAAGAAGGCATTAACAGCAGAAGTTGGCTTTTTGTTTGTTTTCAAGGTAGGTGTTGCGAAGGTGCAATTTTGAAACACAGCTTTAATAATTTCTGTAACTAAAAAAATAACATTTTAAAAATAAGCAACACTCATTACGTGTGATCTCTAAGTATTCTCTAAGGTGAAGAAATTTGTAGAGGAGTTTTCATAAGGTTCTGCAAAACTCAACCTATTTTATTTGTAATTTGATCACTCTGACTTCATCTCTTAGTTCTGTTTCTAACTCATATCTTCCTAGGTGACCAGTCTTTTTCTCCTTTGTGTTCTCCATTCTCCTGGAATGTGCTTAGTGTTGACAGGGCCAATACTGCTGAAAAACAGTTCTTCTCTACCCTGCTAGGCAGCACAGTTTTTAAATTGGTGGGAAATGGGTACCGTCCCAAATCTGTGCCTCACACTGTTAACACTCATTCACCTTTTGTCTTACTGGTTTTCTTTGTGCTGCAAAGAATGTGACTAGATGCTAGGTGCAATCAGCAGTATGGAGAACTGTCGTTTAAATACTGTGGTTTAAAAATAGTGTTTGAGCTTTTTTGACTTAGAAACCACTGAGCATTTCAGCAATACTGTCACCTGAGGTTAATACAAAGAAGACAATATTTGTAGAAGTAGGAGGTAATTCTAGCTGGTAATGATCTAGGTGGAAAAAACAGACAGCCTTCTGGGCACTGACTCTCTAACTTGTCTACTTTTTCCATTAGATCATTTGCTGTTAAAAGAAATTGTTTTTTCCCTAAGTATCTTCTGTGAGTTCTACATTTAATTTTCAGAAAAAGTGTCAAGTTTTAAGTAGACTCTTGTCACCAAGAACTTTGACTGTTTGTCTTCTGAAAACCTTTGTTGCAATTAACCTCTGGAATCAGTATTCTGTCACACAAGTTTTCTTTTAGCAGTGTGAGATACTCAAGAGTGTGCTTGCTTTGTTCGATTTGGCGTTCTAACATGAAAATGCATGTGTCCTTTCATACAAGTCCATGAGGTTGCCACTGACATGAGAGATTTCTTTTGATAAAAGATATAAAGAAGGGATGACTTCATGAAGGACTGGGGTAAGGCGGGTGAGGAGAATTTGTGTGTCTGCTAGAGGAAGATAACACAATAGTCAATGAGATATACACAGTAAGAAGTAAGAATATTTATTTTACTGATTAAAATTTTAGTGCTGTTCTTGGCAAGGCGTATTTCCTTTAATCTGGAGCTAGTCTGTTTATTCTTGAGGCAAATCTGTCTGGAGTACAATAGAACTTTCTTCATAAAATGTTTTCAAAGGGTGCTGACACAGTGGAGGAGTTGGGCGTTTGATCTTTAGTTTTGTATTTATATAGATGTTGGACATACTATTTTACTTTTGTTTTATATAAATGTATGTAGACTACTTTGTACTGGAGAATAAAACATTGGCCTGGAAGCAATGAAATTTGTTTCCTGAATGGTAGATGTTTACGTGGAGCTCATATACTGTTAAACCCGTGTCCCTCTCCACTAACATATTCCATGCTCAAATGGAAATGTCTAGACATACTGGATAAAATAAATTCTAGTGATATTTCATTTTACCACAGAATTGATCTTACCTCGCTATTGCTGCTCCAAATTAATAGCATAAAAATGCAGCAATAAAATATTAAAGTGACAGAAAAATGATTATAATTATGCACTATATTTCTGACTGACTAGTAACTGGTGAAGATTTAAACCTGATGATAGTAAAGAAACACATTTCTGTTGGTTGAGAGACTGCGTTGCAGAACGATGTCACCCATCCTCAAAACACTGTATTTCATCCTGTTCACTTCTGCCAAAATGTGTCTTTTCCTACCAAGCCAAACAGAATTTTAAACCTTCATTTTCCCTGGCATGTGCTGAGTGTTTCCATGTGCTTTGTCCTGTGCAATAGCATTTAAGGTTGGGAAAGCAAGTGGAGATTTACTGTTTCATACTAACTAGAGACGAATGTGTACCACAGCATAATTCTCTCCTCCCTGCTAACCAGAAAGATATGTTAGTTTATATGGAACGAAGTTTTCCTTCAACTTGCCGTAAGCGTTGCAGTGGGGTATCTCCCACACTCCCTCCCACAGTGGCAGTGGGGCTGTCCTGGTAAACACATGGCAGCTGCTTTTTGCAGCATTCCCAGTCTAGCAGCCAAGCTCTAAAGCCCTACTAAACCTTCCTCGTGTTACTGGGTTTCATTTCTTTGTATTTTTCATTGTCTAGATAGCCAACACTGATTTCATGATCAGTGCTTTACACTGAAAGGCAGGAGTATTCAGCAGCTCATGCACATTTGACTTGTGGCTGCCAGAAAACGGTAGGCGTACAAGGCAGACTGACTTATTTCACCTGCATCAAAACAAGGATAAAGGTGAACATAAAGGGAAGAATAAGGCAATTAATTTGAGCAGTTGCTTCGGGAGGACTTACTTTGGAGCAGATTCATTCAAGGCAGCATCGTTCCTGTAATAATCAAACAGGTCTTGACTTGAAGAGTTACGTGTTGTGGATCTGACATGAACAGTAAATGAAAAAAATCAGGAGAGTGGAAGGCCTGCACAGGATTTTCTTCCAATGTGAGCTCCCCAGTTAAACCAAAGGCTGTGATTAAAGCTGTTTTGAAGGTCTAGATTTCAGTTTGGTTCTGCTGAGCAGCAAACTACGTGGACAAAGAGAGGTACTGAACTGTTCCACTAGCAGCACAAGGCTCTTAAAAAGTTATCATCTGTTGGAATGCTTGTCAGTCCTTGTGTCGGTGGTGACTTTAAATTCATAAATTATTAGTTACAGTAAGGATAGCTAATAAAACCCATATTCGAACTGCTTTGTATGTCCCACATTAGAAAGGAAGACACACATTTTCACCAAGAAGGGAGTTTGCTAGGTCTAGGAGCAATGTACAGTACTTCAGTTATAACTTTACATTGTTACAGTCAAAAAACCCTGAGAAGGCAAAGAAGTACCCTTGCTAAGATTATGAGGCAAATTCAGCAGATTTGTAGACTGCCTGAAAGAGTTAATATTTTTTTTCCCAGTAAGATTCTTCAGGTAGGCATATGAAAAGAGTAATATTTTATTTCTTTGAGTTTCTGGGCAAGTTTTTATGTTGGTATTGCAGCATTCAGTCTGTAAATCTTATTTTTACAGAGAGTAACAGTTTGGAGAGACTTAAGTGACACTCATACAGTACTATGGGACTTTATAAGGTTTTGCTTTATAAGGTTTACGCCGGTTTACCTGCATGCATCTGCAAAAAACTGCATAGATGCTTTCAGGTTACTGTACTGTGTTTTATATGCAGAAATTATTGCTTCTGCTTGTGGAGCTGTATAAAAGCAGAAAAAATGAGCTTTGACTATACAGAAATACTTCTGGCTTGAGGTAAAATGATGTAAAGCATAAATGAAGAAGCCTGTTTTCTGAGTGCTATTCATAATACATTGCTCAGCAAGAGGTACATCAGTCAAACAGCATTTCATTTTGACTTGAAAACCTTAGTCACTTGCTGCCTCTTGGAACCCTTGGTTCACACCTGGCTGACACCAGACTTCCTGTTTCAGAAATAAAGGGGAGGCTGCTAAATGGAAAGAGGGAGAGATGCTGAAGTAAACTGAGATCATAAAAGAGGCTATTAAATACGAAATAGCGCAGAAATTCTTTTTCAAAAATTGTGGGATATGTTGGCTCCTGAGGTATGCAGTAGAAAGTGGCCCAAAACTACCTGTCTGCATTTCAGCAAGAACAATATAGGCAAGAGCCCAAGAAAGGGGAAAGACAGATAAATGATTGTGAGTATGGGTTCAGAGCACTGTGGGAAAGCACTTGCAGAACTGCCGTGACAGCAGGTAGTAGATACAACCCCACAAATTATGTAGGATGAAGTTACTAGTGATAAACATATCTGGAGAAGGAGGACAAATAATTAGGTTTTTTTAATTCATAAATCTATAAATAGACAATAAAGTTGAATCTAGATATTTATATCGCATTGCAACAAGGCATACTATGAAGGAAACCTACCTGTAGGTAAGCTTTCAACACAGTTTTGACCAATATTTGAAAGGTTGAAAGCTGGCTTCTAGTTGAGGAGGCTTCAGTATTCGTCCTGTTTTCCTCCTCAGATTCTGAAGCATATTCCTGCTCTTTTCATCTTGAGCAGTCACTGTGGAGTTATTTTAGTTATATAGCAAAATTACAAATTTGTGGCATACATGCTTGTACATCCCTTTGGATGTGCTCTGAATAGCTGGATCCTGCTTTTCTTTGTTTTCTCACTTGTGAGAATTAATGTCCTGAGCAACCAGCTTTAGAGGACATGAGCAAGGTAAACTTTGGTGGAAGAGTGAAAAGAAATTTGAAGAATTGTTTTGTTATTTATTCCAACACAAGTGTTCCATATTAAGTTATATCTATATGTATACTTTGCTGGAAAGGGCATTTGTATCTACTGTTGCTAAGGGAAATACAAAAAAAAAGTATTAAATTTATGGTTCTCAGGTTTATCATCTCTCACATGTGCAGGAAAACTTGCTTCAAAATCTTAATATAAGTTTCCTATATATGATGATATGGAGGCCTGTTGGTATTTTCTACTCCAGTATTTTTTGAGTTCTGGTTTTTTTTCTTTACATAATTTAATTGAAATGTAGAATTCTGATGAAATCTTTAGATTTGGAACATAGACTAACTAAATGAATCTTTTTCTTTCTTGCAAAAAAAATTGCTAGACTTAGAACTTTTTCACTTGTTTAGTGCCTGGCCTGTTAATTTAGATTGTTTTAGCATAGAATAAAGAAAAGCAGTTGACTTAAGTTATTGTATTAAACTAAGACACTAATGAATTGATTTTATCTTTACAGACTACTGGGAATATTCTGGAAGTGCGCCAGGATTGGTAATTTTTTTTTCTTTGGAATCTTTAGGACCAGTCTAGAGTATGTGTTATTTATCCAGATAATATTTCCATGTAGCAATAAAGCCCCTAATCATACATCATCTTATAAAATGCAGGTTTTACCTCCATGAAATATAGTGGACGCAGAGGTGGGGTGTGACTGTTTTACTTAACATTATGGAAACCTGCATTTTCTAATGTCAATTCATATTGACATTATATGGTTATATTTGATGCTAGTGGTATATTTGAAAATATATTTCGCGCTTTTTAGCAGGTCAGTAACCAAGGGCATACTTCTTATTAACATACAGAGAAGTCAACGATTCCTTAAAAACGACTGTCTATTTGAAATTCTAATAGACTGCTGACAAAAGCCAGATACTTTCTTTTTTCTTTTTTTTTCAGTAAGGTTCATTTAATCACAGATGTTTTTTCCTCTCCTTTAGTTAGCTTCTGTATACTTCTGAATTACATAAAGCTGTTGGTGTGAGGTGGCATCTATAGCCTGATCAGCTCCATCTGATTTCAGGCATTTTCCCGTAACACTTGTTTATTTTAATCCTTATGAATTTAATTTGAGAAGGAAGTGGGAATATGCAACAGAACCTCAGTCTTAATATCAAAGTATATCCAAAATTTTTTAAAAATTACAAATCTATCATCAGATTGCATTGTTAATGCAGAGCAGAAACATTGAACTCGTACTTCTTGATCTTCCTACTTGTCGTTAAAACCTAGAGGAAAAATGTATGGTTCCCTTTTCTGCATTCTCAGGCTTTGAAAGGACATGACATACATTTTTCAGTATGTCAGAAAGCATTGATGCAAAAAATAATTTTTTTCTGAAGACCTGTTGTTAAAATGATTTCAGATATTGTCCTATTTAGGTAATAGCAGAACCAATTTTAGTATTGTCATTGAAAGATACTGGCAAGGTGGCAGCTGTCAGAAATTAATTTTGAGCTATACCAGCGGAAAACAAATGTAAAAATGCAGCTGCATTAGGATTTGTTCAAGGCTGAAGAGAACACTGTACCTTGCCATCTTCTTTTTAGCTAATTATGTGCAAGCATATTTTTTCTATTAGCTATGTCAAGCAAACAGTTTAAAAAACTATTTAAGGATTGCCTGAGGTTTTTATGAGTTCCCAGTCACCTTGATAAAGTTAAGAACTGGAATATAGTCTTGCTTTCCCATCATGTAGTGACATTAAAGTGTTTGCATTTGCTGCATCCAAGGTAATGCATTCACTCTTGTGCCCACACTGAACTGCTTCCTTTTCTCTTTCTCATGGGAAACACTAATTTCTTTTCAACTTACATCTGGAGTCATCCAATTTTACTTTCTTTTAAACTGACAGATGAGAAAGTAGCATCTTAACATTCATCTCTACATTTCCTTACACAACAGTACCATATCCTCAGTATGGGAAATGGGACTTGAAGATAAGTCCTCTATCATTTTGTGATAATCACAAAATCATGTAGAAAGTGTAGGCTTTCAAAAATCAAAATGCCTACTGGCTTCCTTTACATTTAACTTGCTCAGTATGTTTAAACAACCTTTTCACATGTGTGTAAGATTTTAATAACCAGCAAGTGGTTACATATTTATAAAGTTGTGCAAAATTATGTTTAATCCTGCCACATGGTGATTTCTCTTTTAAGAAAATTAAGAGCACGAAAGTATAACCCATATGAAAATTGTAATACTCTAGACTGTAGGAGGTGGACTTCCTCAAAAAATTATTTTAAACAGATGTGAAACAGCAGACATTAATTCATTCAGTTATTTGAAGTTTAATTAAATATATGCCAGGTCATGAAAACATGTTGTAATGCCACTGTGGCAGGCACTCCTATTTATGGGAGGTGTCACTAAAAGTCTTATTTTACTTATTTTTTTTACTGTGAAGAGTTTGTTCCTCCTGTATTTGAAGGTCCTACTTTTTTTTCCCTGATGATTACACCTTAAGCTAGGCTTGGGAACCTTGGCAGCTGGGTTTTTTAATGTCTTGCTGAAAACTGCATCACGGAAAAGATTTATAGTAAGATAAAAGACCTTGCACAGCAGAAGGAAATTGAACTTTGTTTAAAGCAGACAGCTTCAACTCTGTCTTTATGCTTCTGAATGCATAAAAAACACGAATCTTCTTACTTTAAAGAGTCACTGCTGTGTTAACATTCATAGCAGGTTTGTAGGCTGGAGGTAGCATCCAGTGTACGGGACTGTGCTCTCCAGAGAGAATAAAGAGATGCATGAAGCATATTGCTTAAGTAGAAGAGTAAAAAGGCCTGGCTAATTAAATGGAGGAAGTGCCCAGGTAAATAAGTAGCAGCCTGGTTGACATTAATAATATTCCCCGGATTGTGTTACGGGTCCCTACCTAAAATTCATGATTTTTTCATGGTTTATTTGATGAACCAGAAACCTCTGTATCGTTTTGTTCTAGACCAAATGAATGGGATCACTTTGCTACCACATATAAGTCTGTTAATGGAGTAAACTTAACTTTCCTTGCCCTGGAAAACTGTGACACTAATTTGCAAGAGTAAGGAATAGAGGTGTCTGTACAACTTTTATAATCTGTTAATCATTTTTATTGCTAAGTTGAGAATCTGTGCGCCAGCCCCTTTCCACAAGCTGACAGTGTTGTGTTTCTAGCAAAGAATAAGACAGGCATCTGGCCATGTCTGGGCCACTGTGGGCTCCACAGCCAGTTAGCTAGCTCTGACATGATACTATGCATAAAAGATGCACACTGCATATAGTAGCTGTCATGGTCAGACAGCATTGAGGTGCACTTCAGCTGACATGGAACAGCTTTTGAGCCACGATAGCCTTTAGCCAAACTGGGAACAGAGCCCATAGAGGATTTGGTTTCTTGACCAGCTTTCCAGTGCCTGCCTCCTGCTTCTCTTTGCACTAAAATATAGCAGCAATATATTCTTTTTTAAAAAAAAAAAAAAACCACAACTTTTCCTGGAAACTACATCTCAGAAAAGATGGTTTATTGTAAGATAAAAAGCCCTTGCATTGGCCTTTGCTTAAAGCTAACAGCTCCAACTCTGTCTTTGTGTGACAATATATCCTATCCTACATTTTACTTTTTCCACTCCCACACATATTCTTCCTGCATATGCAACTGTAGATGTAATAGCATTTCTCCAGGTAAGAAGTGTTGAATATTAGTCTCCATGTGCAATGGGATAATTACCACGTTATGCTAGATCTCTTCAGTAATACCTGAATTTTTGTTTGGTTTGTTTTTGTGCTTTTTTTTCCCTTCGCTCAGGTGAACGGAAGAGTCCTTATGTGGCTGTGTGCTGTGTCATGATGGCCTTCAGCATTCTGTTTCTGCAATAGCAGCTGGAGAGTGTCCCCTATGCCCTGCTACCAGACAGCAGAGCGTGGAAGAACTTCTAGCTGGAAAAGACTGGGAAGTGTCATCAAGTCTTCTCTCGCATGTCAGATAGCCTGTCTCTCAGTGGACACCCCCATCCCCTGCAAATGGACCATTATGTACAGTGTTAGTGAACGTAATGTAACTAACTCCAGATGTCAAGTCGGTAGTGGCACTCCTGATTCACACATTTCTAATTCACCTAAAGCTGGTCTAGTTATCAGATTAATTCTTAATAACTTCTTATGTTTAGCTGTGACTAAGAATACCAGGAAATTTTAAGTTCAGAAAATCTGAACACTGTTGGCATGAAGGCATTGTTTTGCAAAAGCCTTTCTTGTTCATAGCATTTTGTCATTGAAGAGGTTCAGACGGACAGACTTCTTACTGTTTGTCATGTGTTGTTCAAAATTATTTCTTGTACAGCAGTTCTTCATTTTGTCCTAAATGCAGCTCATCGGTGGATACTTCCTAGTTGGGGATTTTTTTATTTTCCACTTAATATGACATGTACAGGATATTCATGGCACACTAGCAGCATGGCTGCTCAGCAGTGCTACTTCAGCAGCAAAGTAGATAACACATTTCTCAGCCACTGCTGGCAATATATAAGTTTAGCCACACTAGGTTTTATGCAAGCATTAGAAATAGTTGTAGACAGAGAGAAATGTCGTCTGCAGTGGAGCCACTCAACACTTGCCTCTAGTAAAAATTTCTGAAAACAGGATCTTTAAACTGTATCAAACTTAGTTGGTTTGAAGTGACTGCTTTAAGGAGGTGTTTTCCTAAAGATGAATTCTTTATTTTTCAAAATTTTGTCTTTAAAGAGTTTGATACTTCATTTTGTTTACTAAGATAGATAGGAAGAAGATACTGTTTTCCCATGTTAGAATCTCAAAGCCATTTTTGTTTTTTTTTGCTTCCTTTTTCTCATGCAAAAAAGATATGAGACCAAGAATATATTGATATTTGACCAAGGTATAAATTCTGTGAGAAGAAAGGGGAGAGTATAACTTGGGCACACACACTTGGTAAAGCTTTAGCACAAGTCATCCTTAACCTCTCAATCTAAACTGTGTCTTTTTCAAAGAGCAATAAGTTCCAGCAGAGTTCTGTCAGAGGAGATGTCAGGCAAAATAGTGTTTTCTTGCCCTCAGTCTTTGCTCTGAGTCCTAGACTGAGTGGAGAAGTGAAAAACTTGCTACCAAATTATTTAAGTGCTAAAGTAGCCTAATATAGCAGATAAACAACTACAGGATTTGGCATAAGTTGACAGAATAGATAACAGTTATCACAGGTGGCTGAGGAGACAAGCAAAGGGAGTTTCTGTCTAAAATGCCACAGTTACAACCACAGTAAGTCCATACACCTTATCATATGTAGCAGTACTTAAAGGTGCACAGAGTGAGTGGAATAGTGATTAAATATGACTTAGGCTATAGTTGTGCCTACTACCATAGAAAAGTACTGCAACTTTTGCACTGCATCCTTTTTATGTAAATGACATCATGGACGGTGGCTTTGACACCTGGCAAACTCCCCCTGCACACGTTGCATGAAAAGGGAGGGTGGCATAGGCTATGGTTTTAAGCACAAGAGGAGAGGGTGGTTTTAAGAGGAGGAGAGGGGTCCCATCTCTTTTTTCTATACTAATGAGAACAAGAATGCAGGGTTATAGAAGAGCGTGTTCCAGTAGGATGATGTATCTTGGATCAAGGTCATACAACTGGAAGAATAACAAGTGTTCTCTCTTCTACAAGTTGCAGAAGAAACAGGGACAGACCCTACCTCTTGTGTTTGGTACATTGTAGATGCACTCTCTCTGCATCATTTTATGTTTGTGTCTGCAACTCTCAGAGTCATCATACCTGAGCTGTCCTATGGACTGACAGAACTACAAGCAAGAGTAGGACAGACACCAACTGAACTCATGTGTGCTGCCACACACAGCTCTATTGCTATTGCTTTGCTACAGGTATCCCAAGCTAAAATTTTCTAAAATTATACAAATTTTCAGTCTTGGAACAAAATATGGCCATCTGTTTGTTGTATGCAAATCCAAATTTACTGCTTAACAGTGCAACTAGTAATAAATCAATGCAGCAAAACCTGAAACATGACGTGTTGTTCTTTGAATACACAGAATATTTTATAGCCTTGCATGTACTTGCTATGGATTAGTTATATTAACATTCATCCACATCTGCACTCTAAATGACCTCAAATTCAAAGTAGGGATTTAGGAAGACTAAATCAAAAAACAGTACTAGCCATGTTGGGAAATGAGTAAAGCATGAGTAAGAGATGGGATCACCATAAAGGTCTGATGTTCTGGAGAGACTGATAAGCAAATGAGCAGACATAGCTAGTGGAGGAGGAAACAAAAAGTCTAATCCAAGGCTGACTCGAAGATTTCATGTTCTTGGAACAGTATTATTCTATGAATGCTCTTTCTGCCTCACAGCCAGCGAGCGGTGGAAATACACTGTCACCAAGAGGTGAAGTTGCAGTGTGGTAGAGGAAATAATTACTCTGAGGTTAGTGCTCTGAGGCTTTTATTCTTTCGTGTCATTCACCAGCTTAAACAATTCATGTTGTATGTGAAGACAGTGCATTAATCACAGATAAAACAACCTCCAGTCATTCTCTGCAACTCTTAGAAGGAAAGCAAAGCATTAAACATACATTTTGCAATGGACGGTTAGAAATACAGTGAGGTTTACTGTCATTTCCCGTATTGTGATTGATGTTTTCCCACTACAGAAACCCCCACATCATGCCTGGATCTCTGATCACTGCTTGCAGTTAAAGCCAGCTTTTTCATTCTTTCCAGTATCTACCAGTAGATCAAGAAGCAGGATGAGGCAGTGTCTCAGTGGGAGAGCCCAACGTGTAGTGCTTACAAAGGCTCGCTGTGGTCTAGCGATGCCTTCCCCCCTTCTCCCCTTCATGTCATAACTACTCTCTGGAGAAGAGAAAACAAAAAGAAAAGAAATCCAGCATCTTCCTAATAGATTAAAATGTAACCTTGGTAAAAAACACCAAAAGCCAGGAAAGTGTGATCTAAAGCTGCTACTCACACTCACACAGTGACTCTACATTATCTAGGCAAAACATTCCCGGTTAAGGAAGGTTTTCCAGACTGTTATTTTTTCCTTCCTTTTCTCTTGTTTTGCTTGAACTTTGTTAGTTATTCCAGGCTCAGCTCTCAAGTGTGTTCCACATACCTTACAGGGCCCTTACATGCTTCATATGCATTTGATGGTGCTTGGCTAGCTAGAAAAGTAGTTTTCCTCTAGCTCGTGTAATGCAGTGTAATCAGCATGTTAGGTGTAGAGTATACACCTACACGTTGAAAAAAAGGTTTTGAATGTGTGGCCTGAAATCTTTGTGTCACTACAGTACTTATATTTTATGAATGATACTGTGTTCCATGATACTCTGAGATCATAAGGAAGGCAAAATGTGTGGAAGCATAGTCATTCTACAAGACCTCCTCACAGCTGGAAAAAAACACATGCTTTTGAAGGACAGGGAGGATCTTCTTCAGGTCCATAATGACAGACTTCACACAAAGAACTAGCCTATACTGAACTTTCAGTTCGTCGTCTCTGTTTCAAACCTGAAACACTTGTGTGTCCAAATGCGCATTTGTTTTTTTCAATCAGTCAATATACGACAAGATATAAAGTATCTCCAGACAACTTCTGCCTGGATTTCATGAACTGTTCATTGGCTGGTAGACTTCAGGTGGCCCTCAGTAAGTAAACTCTTACTTCAGGGAGCACACTTCTCTTTGGCTATTTGAGAGCTGGGCCCCAAGCTCCGCTGATGAAACATCAGTCAGGCTGAGTCTTCACTCAAGCTTCAGACACTTCAGAAATAAAACAGTCTTTGGCACTGCTCTCTACTACACAAGAACCAGTAGCTGCAGGAAGATTGTCAAATGCTTCATTAATGTAAATCAGAAAGATCTTCCAAAAGGAATATGTTATTAACTCACATAATTCCCACTGGCATGGGAGTGAAACGCCAATATTTTCTCAAGGATCTGGGTATAAACATTTCCAGTGACACAACTACTCCTGCCAGCTCCTGGTATGTCAGAAGAGAAGATAATTATTTAATGGGCTCCTCTGTCAGATGCAAAACTTTCTACGAGAGCCTCTCATTGCATCACATCATTTCCGTTACTTGAAAGGGCTCTTTGGAAGCTGTACCACGAGAAAAAGGTTTTCCCTCCAGCTCAGCTAAGTGAGTGGGGAACAGCATGTGTCTTCGTCACAATTGTAAGTGTATCCAGCTGCAATATCATTTCAGTCAATTGCCATATTTCTGTAGATCTGTACAGTTGTGGACCAATTCACTGATTTGTGTAGGCCTAATTAAACTATGGCACGCCACTGATCTCTTTTTAAACGTGACATAAGCACATATAATTGAAGCGCACTGCACCAGGCTCTTTGGCGTCCTCTGCATCGTCTATGATCCATCATGCGTAAACTAGACAAAGGAGCCTATCATATCACTTATACCACATGATATATTTACTTTTGGGAAGCTCAGTGATTAAAATACTGTATTTTTCCCTAAAAAAAAAAAATCGTAAAATTATATATGGTTTCATTTATTCTGAAAAAAAAATATAGACTTGTTTTAAAACACAAAAGACTTGTTCTAAAGCAAAGTCAAGTCAGGTCAAACTATAGAAGTACCCTTTTTAGTTCTGAGCTCTTCACAGCTGGTTGTTCCCACATGCAAAAACTTAAATAACCTTTCAGGGCTGTAGTAGGGCTAATGAAATATCCAACAAAATGATAGATGTATTTGGACATAAATGTCACACCCAGTGGAATTAAAAGGAAATAAATAGTAATCTAACAGCATTGGCAAGCTGCTTTTTTGACTATGTAGCACCACCAACATATTTTACATGTGTATCACAGTCATGAATAAGTCAGAC